TCTAGATACAGAAAACCAAACACAGAGCAAGAAAATTCCTGTTGGGCTGGGCATTTTTAGCTCAGTGGTTCAGCCGCCTGCCTTGCAAGTGCAAGGTCCTGAGTTTGATCTCTGGAACCAAGGAAAAAAAAAAGAAAATTCTTGTCATCTTAGAGCTGATGTTCTTGTGGGAAAGAGAGACAACACACCTAATAGATCAATGAGAAATAAATGAATAAAAAATTAGAAGATAATGTCTATAGTGAAAAAAGTTAAGAGTAGGGTAAAAGGGGAGTGGAATTGTAGGGGGAGGAATGTAGTTTGAAATAGAAGGCTAAGAAATTCTTACCAAGAAGACATTTGAGCAAAGACTGGGAGAAGAAGGTGCTAGACAAAGTCTTGAGGCAGGAACATTTCTGGGGCATTCAAGGAATGATGAAAAGCCACTGTAGCAGGAGCAGAGTGAGCGAGGGGAGAGTATAGGAAAGGAGGTCAGATGTGCAGTGGAGCAGACCCTGTGGGCTGTGGATCATTGCAAGGACTCTGCCTTTTACTGAATGAGATGTGCAGCCCTAGGAGTGTTGTAGGCAGAAGAGGGACCTGGTGTGATGTAGGTAAAAGTTCTGCTCTGGCTACAGCATGGGGAATAGGCTGGAGGTGAAACAAATGAAAGCAGAAGACCCACTGAGTAGTGATAATGGCTCGAAGAGAGAGGTGATGGTAGTGTGGATCAGCAGTAGCTGTGTGAGGTGGTCAGCAGAGCTCAGCCTCTGAATGCATTTTGAGGATCCGAGAGACAAATATCAAGAGTCCAGGACCAGACACAGTTTGGTGACCTGGTGAAATCCCCATAGCAGAGGCTGGTACCCTAAAACTCTGCACCCTCGAAGTAGGAGAGAATTACAGCTACTAAACCCCAAAGAGACTGAGTATAGCTTCAAGCCATGTGCCCTTGTCAATCTCAAGTTCTGAGCATGAAATAATGATTCTAGAATGCTTGTTTGCCCCAAGATTCCTGGCAAAGCAACAACAACAACAACAAAAATTACCGCAGTTCATAAAATTATTTGTATATATACGTTTTCCAAACACAATTATTCAGCTGGGCCTGGTGGCGGACACCTGTAATCCCAGTACTCCCGAGGCTGAGGTAGGAGGACTGCTGTAGCCTGGACTACATAGTGAGTTCAAGGCCGCCCTAAACTACATAGTGAGACACTATCTCAAAAACAAAACAAAAAACTAAAATTCAAACACAATAATTCACCACATAATCAAAGATATCTATATTCACAATGAGAAAAAGTACCATGAGTGATAACATGCAGAAGTGGACCTCTGGGCCTCCAGACACGGTGATTATCAGGCACAGACTATAATGTAATTATGCTTGCTAAATTCAAAAAGATCCAAAGCCAGGGGCCAGGGATTTAATTCAGCGGTGCTGTTGCCTGCCTTGCAAGCACAAGGTCCTGAGTTCGATTCCTGCTACCACAAAAAAAAAAAAATAGAAGAGATCCAAAGCCATACCTGCAAATTCTGTAAGGAAACCAGAAACCATAAAAAGGAGCTTATTGTGTCCAGTCCTGACCTGAAACTGATGACATTCGCTAGTGGTTAGAGAAGAATTTAATGAATGGGTGCTTTTTCAAAAGTATGGAAAAGTGCAGGAAAATGACAGGAGAGAAGCTGGAGCTAGTGGCAGTGAGTGCTGTCACCATACCTAGGCCTGAAAGGGCAGGGAGAAGTAGTTGCCTGAACTCAGCGAGTGGAACAAAGTGCGAAAGCCACCTGGTTGGAATTGGGAGGCCCACTGAGCGACAGACACAAGCAACCTAGTGACACTGGAGGGGGGTGCTGGGGAACACAAACCTAAACTTCACTCTTCTCCTCTTTTCAGCGTACCCCAGGGGCTCCCCATAGGCTGCAATCAGCCAGAGAATAAGGGGTCTCTCTGAGCAGGTCAGCCTCCCAGCCCACAGGGAAGGGTGGGGAAGCAGAGTTGCTCAGGAGGCACACAGAGAAGGTATCTGACTCTGTGACACAGAATATTTGAAAAAGAATCAAGCACAAATTCAGAAATTGAAAAATACAATCATTAAAATTAATAGTTCAAAGGACAGGTTTAACAGCGGATTAAGCACAGCCAAAGAGAGAAACTGAGGATTGGAAAATGCAATGGGTGATAAAAAATGTGGTGAGTGTTTAAATTTTTAAAATTTATTACAGTGAGAGATTTATTGCCATTGATCTCCCTCAAAATACTCGCCATTACTTCAAAAACACTTATCTCATCCTTCTTGTCACTTTCCGAAGCAGTTCTAGAAGTCCTCTTTCACGAGTGTTCTCAAGGTATGATCAAAAATACAGTGAATGCTGCTGTTGAGTGCCATCCAATGGAAAGGCAGGCTTGTAAAAACACTGTGTATCCTCACGCAGCTTCATCACTGGATCTGGCACTCTGTGACTTCCGGATCTTCCCCAAAGTCAAAATGATGTTGAAAGGTAAATTGTTTTGAATCAATTGAGGACATCAAGGCAGGCATGATAGCGCAACTAAAGACACGCACAAAAGAGGATTTCCAGAATTGCTTTGGAAAGTGACAAGAATGATGGGATAAGTGTGTTTGAAGCAAGAAAGAATAGTTTGAGGGAGAATAAAGGCAGTGTGTCTTTTATCGAAAAAAATTTTTAAAAATGAAAAGGCACACGGCTTCTTTTTCCCTTCACACTTCATAGGTCAAAAGAAACTATGCAAAATTAACAGAGATTAAAAACAGAACAAGGGAAGAAAAATAATGGGACAGTAGTAATGTTTGAAAATATGGTAAGTGACAATTTTCCAGAGCATTGAAAAAGGATGTCAACCCACAGGTTCAATAAACTTGAACCTCAGGTCTACATCTGTGCTTGTTGTAGTGACCCTGAGAAGACAAAGAGGGTCATGGACGACGGTGAGGATAATAGGCATCTGTAACCTGGTGGAGTCGCTGTGAGTTGAGATGGAGAGACTGAGTGGGATGAGGAATTCCCTGCCTGGCCTTTATGTTTCAGCCCTGTGGCCCTTGGAACTCTAAGTAGCTTGCCAAGAGCCCCAGAAACTTCCTCCAGATGGCCTCCCACTTCCAGTCTGTTGCCTGGAGGCTGCAGCATCCTCCTGCGTGGTCTCCCCTACAGTCCCAGCCTCCATGCTGGCCACCAGAGGCAAGCTTCTAACAGCTGCAGACTGTTGGGGAGGAGGTGTGTGTCCCCACTCCTGGGGCGCCCCCTGAACCCCACCAAGGAGACTGGTGCATTCTGACTGCTGCGTTCAGCATTAGGTCTGAGACACAGAGCCCAGGTTTTCTCTCTTCCTCCTTCTAGGAGGAGGCTGCCTGCAGGGAGTTTCATTCTGCTCTGCCTCCCCTGGGCTTCTCCAGGGAGCCTGTGCTTTTGTTCTGCCCTTCCTGTGCCTGGTGATCTATCTGCCAAATTCCAGGGTTCACCAACCCTGGAATGGCCCCCAAACCCACCCCACCTGCCCTCCAAATAGAAGTCACATTTGTTCAGAACACAGGCAGGGGAAGGATTGCTATGCTTTCGGGCTCCTTCAAACTCCAAAAGTAAAACACTATAATACACCTTGACTTAAAATGTTCGGGGATCTAATTGCCTTAATGGCCTATAGAAGAAAGTTTAACGTCTTTAACACAGCACACAGCGGTCTTTACAATAAGCCTCCACCTACTTATCTCTACCGATCCATGTTAGCTTAGGCATATCATGCTCTCCTCACCCCACCTACCTCAATCCTTATCCAGTGGAGCCAGTCCCTTGGTTTTAGAGGCTACTTTATAAATCTCTCTCTCTCTCTCTCTCTCTCTTTCTCTCTCTCTCTCTCTCTCTTTCTCACTTCTCTCTGCACTCACACTAAGGGAAGTGTGATCTCATGAGCAGCACTATGGAGAAGTCCATGTGGGAAGAACAAAACCCTGTAGCCAACCACCTGTGTGAGGGAGCCTGGATCCTGCAGCTCCAGCTGCCTTCAGACAGCAGCCTTTACTGAGCCAAAGCTACCTGGTTAAGCTGCTCCCACATTTCTGACCCTCAGACACTGAGACAATGCATGTTTTTTGTTTTAACGTTTTAAGTTTGGAGTAATTTCTTACATGGCAATAGATAACAAATGCACTGCCTCTCTCCCCCTGACCAATTCCTACTTGTTCTTTGTGTCTTGGCTTAGACTCATCCTCCTCCTGGAACCCTTCTCTGATTTCCTGACCCAAACTCCTGATGATTTAGCCTTCCAATATTCGTTCTTCCTTCTCTGCCTGGACTCCACCTGAAGGAACCACTCTTCTCCCGTCTGAGCCTATGCATGTCTGATGAGGCTGACCACCCCTCCCAGGCTCTAGGGGCTGGTGGACAGCCTAGACCTGGCCATTTCCCTGGAGCCACTGTGCAAGGCTATGACCTAAGCTAGGCCTTGAGGATCAGCCCAGGAGCCTTTGTCAGAGGTATTAAGAAATAGGTGATCTTTATCTACGGGAGTTGCTGGGTGGGGAAACGTGAGCCTGGACCTACATTCTGCCAGCATAGAGGGAAGGCCCACCTTGAGATGTGGCCAGAAGAAATAGATGAGCTGGGGGATAGGGACAGATTTCTGATGCAACTGTTGAAGCATCTGGATTCCACTGTGCTTGAAATCCATATCTATTGTCTGCTCCCTTTTTATCTTTCCCGTGATAGTGCTTTGAGATGATATCTATCACTTTCAGCTGAAAGAGGGCAGACTAACTCGTCTCCGTGGCTGGAATTAGCCACACACACACACACACACCCCACTCCCAGGCCTTGGTGCTTCCTGAACTCACTACACAAAACTGCACTGGGCATTGGTGCTCCTGTCTGAATTTTGCACCACACTTTGCTTACCTCCTTTCCTGTTTCTTAAAATCAGAGCTCTATCATATCTATTTCTACGTCCACAGCACTTCCCACCATGAGGTGTTTAGTGAATAATTGTATAGTGAATCAATGACTGTCTTCTGATTGGTCAGGAGACTTTAATAGAGCGAGGAAGGGGAGTCACAGCTTCAGAGACCTGCTTATTACAAGGCCAGTGTTCCCAAGCAGTCTCTGAGTTGACAAAGGATTATTATTTTGTAATCCCTCTTCATCCAGATCATGGCTAAGCCAGTCATACCCATGGAACAGAAACCAGTCTCCCATAACAGAAAACAAATCTGACCCAGATTTTTCCAGCTTTAAACAACTCTCAGTGATGTTTTTTGGCAGAAGTGGGTAGAAGGGCTTGAACACATGGATTCAGGAAATCTCCTACATTGTAGGACATTGTTTCATTTATTGATTGATTCATTCAGCAAGCTTTAATTAGTACCTACTATGCATCAAGCATTAAGCATACTATGTAATCTTCACAACCAGCTTCTAGGGCAGTGTGGTTGCTGCCTCTTGACACATCAGCAATTATCCCAAACTTGGAGGCTTAAAACAACAGACGTTTACATGTCCCAGCATCCAGACGCAGTTCAGCTGAGCACCTCTGGGCCAAAGTGTGCCCTGAGGTCACAATCAAGCTGTCCACCAGGGCTATGTACATCCCATTTCCAAGCGCAGTCCTCTGGCTGTTGTCAGGCACAGCAGATTCACTTGCAAGCTCCCTCTCATGGCTTCTCCCAGAGTGGCCTCACCACATGGCAGCTGCTCCTGCTGGGCGACTGATCCAAGACAGAGTATACAAGACAGAAGTCAGACTTTATAATACAATCTTAGAGGGAACATGCCCATCATTCCACCACATTCTGCTCAATAGAAGCAAGTCAATAGGTTCAGCCCACACTCACAAGGAGGGCATTATGAGAGGGTATCAATACCAGGACATGGAGTCATCGGGCAGTCTCAGAGGCTACCTGCCGCAGGCAAGGTATTCTTACCCTTCATTTCATATCCAGAATACAGCTAGTTAAGCAACTTGTCTGGGTCACTCAGCCAGAGAGTTTTCTGAAAAGTAGTCTCTTATATCCCCAGGCTAGTTGGGAGTGAGATGAAGGAAAACAGGAAGAAGGTGTTAGTAGGGGAAAAAAAAATAAGGATAGAGTCTGTGTTAGTAAGCAACTGATATGTGACTGATTAACCCACAACTTAGTAGTTCAGTTTTTTGGGTTTTTTTTTTTAGCAATTTTAATCAGCCTTCTGTATCAGCTTCCTGACAGCAGTACGCTGTCGCCAGGAACAGAATAAGATGAAAATTCTGACATCACTGCAAACAACTTAGTAGTTTAGTGGCTTAAAATAAACATTTATTAATTTACAATTTCTATGGGTCAGGAATTTAAGAGCAGCTGAGCTGATTCAGCTCAGAGTCTCTCATGAGGCTGCAGTAAGCTGGATCCAGGGCAACTTTGGGGACTCAATCTGGGCTAAGGATGTGCTTCCCAGGTAGCTGTCTCACATGGTTGACGGCCAGTGGCCTCAGTGCCTTGCCTCATGAACCCCTCTACCAAAATCATGCTTAAGCACACTTAGGACATGGCAGTTGGGCTTCTCCCCAAACAAATGAGGCAAGAGAGCCTAAACAGAAGACGTACTGTCTTTTGCGACCTGGCTTGAGGAGTCACACACTGTCATTTCTGCAATATCCTGGTGGTTACACAGGTCAGCCTATTCATTGTGGGAAGTGATTGCCCAAGGGCAAGGGGATGTCCAGAGGTGAGGCCCCCTGGAGGCTGGCCACTGCAGAGTCCTGAAATTCAACTGTCATTGCACCATTCCTCCGCTCAAAGGGGTCCAGAGTGTTCCCATGCATGACAGCATGAAAACAGATTTCCTTAGCTCCATTCCTTACTGTCTCTTGGGGGGATGGACCAGACCTCAACAGTCCCCACAGAGATCTTTGCTCATGTGTCCACCCTGCCCCCATACTCTCTGTTCTAGGGAAAGGCCTGCCTCACCAACATTCTGCTTTCAACATGTGTCATTGTGCCCTCTCCATGAGCAGGCCCTGACTGGGTGTGGGAATATGAGGATGAGCAGACACACACCCTCCCTCGGGGAGCTTCCACTGAAGGCAGGGAAGTAGGTACTAGCCACTTAACAATAATCTAATCACAAATTATGCCAAGTTCTCCCAAGGAAACCTACACCGAGATCATATAATAGGGAACTGGCTTATTCCATGTGTGGTATTTTAGCAGTTGAGTAATTAACTAGGGTGGGTACTTTCTGAACCTATAGTATTAGCTATAGGTTCAAGGATAAGTGAAAATCCAAAATAACAGTAGCTTAAATAAGGCAGATGTTTGTCTAGAAGTCTAGATAGCTATGGTACCACTCAGTGACAGGGACTCAGGCTCCTTCCATCTTGTCCTCTGTGTGATCTCATGGCCCAGAATGGTGACATTGGCATTCTGTGCAGCCAGATGGAGAAAGGGACACGGAGGGAAGAAGTACATATTCCTGAAGCCACTTCATGACACTTCCCCTTATATCTCAAAGGCCAGAACTCAGTCACACTTAGCTGCCAGGGCAGCTGGGAAAGATAGCTTTTATTCTGAGCACCCATAAGTCCAGCCAAAAACTGGGCACTTCAACCACATGCAAAAACAGTCACACCAGTCAACCCTATCTAGCATTTACTCTGTGTCAGGCATTTGGAGATCATGCCAAGTGCACCTCTAATTCAGTAGGTCAAGGCTGGGGATGAGAATCTGCTCTATGGTATGATGCCCAAGTAGCTGGTCTTTGGACCACATTTTAGAAAGAGGGGACTAAGTTTCTAGTTCTGGCTGAGATTTCTTCCTCGCTTGCTCCCAAGAGCATCAGGCTGCTGTTGAGTGAGTGAAGAGAGGGGAATGGAGGAGGCCAAAGGGAAGAAGTGACTGGTCGGCTTCGGTGCATGCTGCAGTGTTTGTCCACCCCACCCCTGCTGGGCTGCCCTCTTCCAGTCCTCACAAGGAACAGGTATGAGGCTTCTACTGTAGACAAAGAACCTGCCCGCTGGACCAGTTGTTTGAACGTGAGCCTCCACCTTTCTGGGTTTCTTCCAGCCCTGAAAGAAGGGGCCAGTGACAGGACCTGGGGGACTTGGGGGACGTTCAGATCACAATGAGTTTTTCCTGCTGTTCAACTGCTTCCCCTCAACCCAGCAATCACAGAGGGAGCTGCTCTGTATTTCTGAGGCACTGAGGTTGGGAGAGAAGGGCAATCGGCACTTGTGCCTTGGGCCAGGTCACAGTGCAGAGTCTACCTCTGGACAGCCCTGCGTGTCCCTAGCTCAGAGTGGGCACTGGAACGCAGCTGGAGGGAACCGTAAGTGAAAGATGTGAGCAGACAGCTGTCCGCCAACCACAACGGCTTCCGGCCGGCAGATGAGCCCTTAGTAGGTGCACTGTTTTCTCATTTGACCCTCAGGAAACACCTCTTTGAGCAGGTGTCATCATCCTTTCTACAGAAGTGGAAAGGGGTGGGGGCCTCAGAGATGCTCAGTGATTTTCCCAGAGAGGCACAGCAGGGGTGGATGGTGGGTCTGGTGTACGATCCACGTCGGATGGATCTCCCTCCCTCCCCCTCCAGTATTAGGCCGGTACTCAGAGCTGGACACTATGCACAGCCCAAACTGGGACCAATCCATTTCATCTTCCCTCAGTGCAATTGTTTTGCAAATGCAAAAATAGGTAAGAGGCAGAGGCCACCCAGAGAGAAAGAAAGAAAACGAATCTGAGGCTTAAAGGAACGAATGATGGAGTCTTGAGGGAAGCCCCCATCGCTCGGCCCGAGGCCCTACTCCTCCGGATGCCTCCCGCGGGCCCCTTTAAACGGGTAGCGGAAGGGGCGTCGGAGGGCGGTGGGGGGCTGCGGCGGCGCCCAATGGGTTGCGCGGAGCGTCACTTCCCGGCCGCCTGAGGCGAGTGGCGAGTGGCTGGGGGAGGCGCGGGGGCGGGGAGGCCGAACAGGCGTTGGCAGCGGGCTCGGACCCACGCGGCGCCACGGCCCCCCCGGCCCGCAGCGCTCACACCCCGGCGGCAGCGGCGGCACGATGCCCTTTGATTTCAGGAGGTGAGTGTCGCGAGCCCGGTCACCCGGGAGCCCCTTCCGCAGGCCAAGGGGACACCCGGTCCGCCGCGGACCCCTCCTGCCCTGCATGCAGATGCAGCCCCCCAGCCTGGTGCACGTCTGGGGAGGCCTTCGGGGACCCGGCCTTGCAGGAAGTCAGAGCTGCAAGGTCCCCGGCGTGCAGCCGGAGATCAACCCACCTACCGCCACTCTGCAGAGCCCCCGCCCCAGCCGTCCCAGATACCTTGCATTCCCTCCGTCCCGGCACGGGAAACAGGTTTCCTCCAGTTGGGAACCAACCAGCACCCCCTCCTCCCTCCCGAGCCTCCTTTAGCGGACCCCACACCAGCTGACAGGTGAGGCTGAGCCACCCCGCCTGACCGCTCAGAGCAGCAGAGCTGGCAGCTCCAGCCTTTCTGGCAGCGGCTGGAGGCTTGCAGGTTAACGTAGCCTGTGTTCCTCTCCCTGCCTCTGGCCTTGTCCTTGTCCTCTGGGTCTGAGGGCACTACAGAAGGGGGGGGGGGCGCTGGGAGCCTTGGACAGGGCTCTGCAGAGAGGCCAACAGGGTTTGGTCTTAGCTTTCTGCAGTCCCACAATGGGTCCTTTGTGGGGTCGAGCTGCCTCGTGGTCCACTGTTGGTCCGCAGTTGGGCTGGGCCAGGCGTTCTGGAAGCCTTCCCAGGAGGGGGTCTCCACCAGACGTTCCCTTGAGGTATGGAGCTCCAAGGGGATGCCCTTGGCTGAGGCTGGGAAAACAGTAGAGCTTTGTAGGAGAAACTGGGTTAAGAACCTGGTTCAACTCTCTTCACAGAGCAACTTGATATATTCTAGAAGGGCAAAGGCTCTATGTTCAGACTTCCACTCACAGTTGGCTGGCCTGTTAAGTGTCTGAGACCTCTCAGTTTCATCACTTGCAAATTGGGACTAAAAATAACCTCCCCACCTGCAAGGACTGAATGCACGAGACACCTTAACCACGTTTGCATGGCTTGCAGCTTAGAAGTAGGCATCACTGGATGAGGGGCCTCTCCATAAGTATTTTCCACATCCCTAAAGTAGAGATTCCGCTGTCCCCATCAGAGGAGGAATTTCCCCCTCTCCTCTTACAGGGGTGAATGACAGGATAATGTGACAGCCCAACCAGAAAGGTCCCTTTCCTGCTGTGACCCCAAGACATGGGGCATGCTAGGGTGTAGGTGTAGAGAGGATGTCAGCTTGAGACCTTGAACACCTGACGTGTTGTTCCAGCCTGTTCTGATCATCGATGCCATCTAGCAAACATTTGCCAGCTTCCTGCTCCTTCCAGGCAGTCTGAGGCTGGTACCAGGGTCCCTGGGACAAATGCAGACTGAGGGCAGTTATGAATAAGGGGACCCCCACTGATGGAATTCAGAGGCATTCCTGACACTAAAAGTGAGTGTCCCCACCATAAGAGCCATGGTTAGCACACTGATTCCTGGTTCCACAAAGTCTCCCCTTCCCTGGGCTAACGATAGATTCCCCATGTGAGTCAGTAAGTTCCAGTGATTTTGATTTTGTTGGAGGAATCACTATGTCTGGTCATTTAATCTTTTCACTCTGCACCCTCCCCACCCTCATTGCACAGAGGAAGAAGTGGAGGCTCTAGGGCTGAGGGTCTTGCCCCGGACCTGCTCAGTGCTTGCAGGGAAGGTGAGCCTGGGTCCCAGTTGGAAGTGTGAAGGTCAAGTAAGGTGAAGGAACGGAAGCAGAAGGGGCTAGCTCTCGCCTTTGGCCTTGGATGATCCTGCCTGTTGCCAGCTCTGTGTTAGGCACTGTTAGTTAAAGGAGACATGGCTCAGCCCTGAGCAGCAGCTGTCCGGGTGCTCCCTGAGCATGCTTCAGCTAAAGGAGGCAAGTTAGTAAGTTCCTCGAGAGCTTGGGCTCACTGCAGAATGGTGAGAATGGACTCAACACATTGCCTGTGCACAATGGAGAGTGGGCCATGTGTGCCCAGCAAATCTGCACTCTTAAGATCTCTTGACCACAAGGCCCAGGGCTTCGTGCTGAGGAAGTGATGCCCCGACCTCACATCCCTTCCTCCTCTTCAGTGTCCACTCATCAAGGATTTCCTGGGTGTCTGCACGATGTTTAGCCCTCTGCCATCTACCTATCATGGGGAGATGGGTGGCACATGATCCATCCCAGGAGAAAGGGGAGGACAGCATGATGGGGTTCCCAAGGGAAGGGTGCCAGCCAGCGTGCAGGGGGAGCACCCATCATTGCACAAGCATCGACATCCATTCCCTTGTCACCTGAGAGAAGAGCTTTGAATCTTAATTCTAAATCCCAGAATTTGGAGACTCCATAGTGGAAGCTCTGTCTTGGGCCATATAACACCCAAATTGGGGAGGTTGGGATTGGACTCGGGGCCATCAGCTCCAAAGCCTTTGCTTTGGGAGAAAAGGCAAAGTTTGGAAGGCCCCACCACCCTGTCAGATCTTTCAAGTATGGTGGGGCGTGCAATCATAGTGCAAACTATGATTGGGACTCCCCACCTCACCCCCAGCCATTTCAGGGCAGGAGAAACCTGGGCTTCCTGTTGCTCTTCTTAAAACAATCAAGAGAGGGGAAAACTAGCCACCTCTTGCCTTGCCTATCAATAGTTCTGGTTTCTTACTGCCCGTAGGACCTCATGCATCTTGCGTAGTTCTGGTGTATTTTCCTGTCTGTGAAATGGGAACATGAGCACACCCATTAGGACTGTTGGACCATGTGTGTAAAACATTTAGACACATAGTGAGCACCCAGTACTTTCTGGTTGCTACATTCAATATTTGTGTCTTTTCCTTTAAGCACTGATCATCCCCTAACACTCTATAATTCACTTACTTATGGAGCTTATTCTCTTTCTCCTTCCCTTTAGGATGGGGCTCCTGAGGGCAGGGATTTGTATCTGACTTTTTCAAGGTATATTCCCAATGCCTAGAACAATACTTGGGCCAAACTCACCCCTTAGAAATGCCTCTCAAATTGTGTCAAAGAAGCCAGAGGCATGGTGTGATTGCATATGCCAGTGCTTCCTTTAGCAGGCAGATTTTCAGCTACTAGTGAAGAATGCTCTCCCTTCCTCCTTCCTTCCCTTTTTCCTCTCTCTCCCTCCCTCCCTTCTCTCTCTTTCCCTCCTTCCTTTCTTCTTTCTCTGGAGATAGAACCTGGGGCCTTGTGCATGCTAGGCTCTACCACTGAGCTACAACCTGATCACCCCCTCTCCATCCTTGAATTTGCCTTTCCTAAATTGTTTTTGGGTTGATGGAGGGGGTAGAATACAGAGGAGGAACCCTGAGCCTTAAATGATTACTTGTGTTTGTTTTTGTTAAACTACTTCCCTGATAGCTGGATGTAGCACTTGTGGAACTGGCCTTGTGACCTAGATCCGGGAGTGTTGTTCCTAGTTCCGGCTGGCCTGACGCCAAGAGCACCTGCCACCTCCCCTCCCGAGGCTGGGACAGCCCCAGCCCAGGAGGGAGGAGGCGGGAGATAAGAACGGGACAGACCCTGTGCTTCAGGCCCAGGGGGACCTGCACCCTTCTCTCAGGAGGGGGTCCAGTGGCAGTGCCCCTTGAAACTCCAAGTCCTGGGGAGTGTCGCTGCCCTGCCATGGCCAGCTGTGCCCTAGGACAGTGCACTTACACTCCTGGAACCTCAGTGTCTTCATTTCAGGAGCTCATGTGATAGTTAGTTGTAGGGCCAGTGAGATGTCTCTGCAGTATCAGGCCAAGGACAGTTTTGGGGCCCAGTGCAAAATGAAAATGTGGAGTCCCTATTGAAAGAGAATTAAGAATTTCAGGATGGTGACAGCAGAGCTTTAAGCCAGATATGGATCCCTCTGAGCCTGTAACCCTGTGTGACAACACAGGTCCTATGCCCTGTGAGGCTTGCCCTCCTTTGGTCACCTCACTGTGGCTTTCCACGTGGTCCCTCCCTGTCCAGGAGACCCCAAAGCTCCTGAGGACCTCAGAGCGAGCTTTCTGAAGTTGACCTGATTTTTTTCATGTCTTGGTTCTAGCCTTCAAATGGATCTCATTGTTCCGAGAATCAAGTCTGGATTCCTTAGTGCTCCACGTGGCCTTGTCTGATGGGGTCCCCAGAACCTGTAGCCCCCTTGCCCCATACACCAGGCACCACAGGGGACTCAGCATATTTAATACTCCTCAGAGGGTGACCAACATGAATGTCTGTATTTCTATTCTGCTTCATTCCAGGCGGAACTGCAGGAAGCTAATAATAGCACATACTCTATAGCAAGTTTCTAAAAATATAAATAGGCTTAAAAATCAGATCAGAGGGAAAATTATATTTTAAAAAAAGCCAGGATTTCATGTTTATCAGGGATGTGCTAGTGGCAGGCACTGTTGTACACACCTCACGTGTCGGCTCATTTAATCCCTGGCCATCCCGCCTCACTGACAAGCCCACTGAACTGCAGCAGCGTGGAAGAGCGGGGCCGCTGGCGGAGGAGCCAGGGCTGGAGTGCAGCCATCAGGTTCCAGAGCTCCACTGTGTCCTGCCATCTGTCTCTAAAGCTTTTTCTTTTCCATTCACTAAGTTCAGAGAGGATGGAAGCCTCTTCTCATTAGATTTACTGGTTTCCTCTTCACTAATGCTTACCCAGTTGTGCTCATTATGAAACTTGAAGCCATCTTTTCTCCCTCCCTCCCTCCCTCCCTTCCTCCCTCCCTTCTTCCTTCCTTTCTTTATTTTTAAACTAGTCTCATGTAGTCTGACACCTGATTCTGGAACTTTCTATTACTAAAGACCCCACCCCCCTACCAGTTTATGGCATCTCATCCCAGAGTGCCCAGAGTTTTCCATACTGACCACTGGGGGCTTTTGAGTTGAAAGCCTGTGTTCACCTGCTTAGCTGGACTTGGCCAGGGGAGAATCATTCCTCCCCTCACAGTGTGGATTCCTGGCCTTGATTCCCCAGTGACTTGAGACAGGGGTTCAGCCAGCTGTGGTCTTGGTTAAGTTCTATCCCCTTCTGGTAATCTTTTCCAGTTGGATTTTGCAGTTGCTGTTAGGTGGTTTTCACAGACAGGACAGGCAGGCAGGACATGAGGAGGACATTTTGGGTGAGGGTTACCTGGTACCTCTAAATCAGTGAGCCAGCTGCCAGGTGTAATCCCAGGATTTGGGAGGCTGAGGAAGGAGGATCACTGTGAGTTCGAGGTCAGCCTGGGCTACGTAATTCAAAGCCAGCTGAACTACATAGCAAGACCCTGTCCCCAAAAAGGAAATCAATCAATCAGTGAGCCTGAACCATGGCCATCCATCAGAATCATCTGAGGAGATTTAAAACCCCTCAGACCTAGGGTACACATCAACCCAGTAGTCAACATTAGAGGGTGGTCCCCATGTGGGTGTTTAAAAATCCCCTTATATGATTCTAATGCCCAACCCAGACTAAACAGAATTGCTGTGTCTCAGGAGGGACTGTTGGCAAGCAGGTCAGGTTGAGCCTTGAAGGGCGAGACTGGGGAATGGAGTTCCGGTCCCACCTGTCGCTCCCGTGTGGCCTTCAGCAAACCTGTTTCCCCAGCAGTAAAGTGGTCTTACATTTCACTATCCTCTCTCTTCCAAGCAAGTGCCCAGACCAACAGCTTCCACATCACCTAGAGCTTTTGGATGTGCAGAATCTTAGCGTCCACTCTGAATCATCTGAATCTGCATTTTAATAAGATCCCTAAGTGACCTGTACATGAGTTAAAATTTATAAAGTCCTGCTCTCAACAACTGGCTTGACTGAAGTCCTCTCAGTCAGTATTTCTCCATCCACTGCTGGTTGCCTTCCTTACCAAAGGTACTGAGAAGTCTTGC